TTATTAGGCCTCTTTCCGAGCCTCCTTAAGTCGGTCGGCGAGTCGGTCGGCGTGCCTTTTTAGAGCCTCTTTCCGAACCTCCTCGTAGTCGGCTACCTCCTTATGCCCCTTTATACCGAGGCTAACAGCCAAGACGTAGAAGAACGCAGCCGGCGGTAATAGGGGTGGTGTAAGAAGGACTTCAAACTTAGCTGTAGTATATTCACTCGCCCCTTTAGCTTCAGGCTCTTCACTAATAGTCTCTCGATCGCTCGGCGAGTATTCGCTGGAAAAGTTATATTCTCCCCTACTTAGAATTTCATCTGCTTCTTTATCTAGTGGTTGAGATAACCATTACTCGGCTTCTTTTTGTATTGCCATCAGTTCCTGAATACGTTGCTAAATAGCTTCTAGGTTCTATTTCCGCAGGTCGTCCCGAAGGCTCTCCGTGCGCCCGTCGAACAGTTGCCGCTCGTTGAATGTAACGTCTCGAGTCGTAAAGACTTCTTTTTGCAAAGGGTTCCAGATCCTAAACGAGTTGCTTAATATATAGCCCACGAGGAAGCCGATCCATGCCCTTAGAGCCTGCCTTTGTAGCCGGTTTCTTCGCAACTGTGCGTCTGCGGTTAGAGCAAAAGCTTTATATCTATAGGCTCGAAGGTAGGAAAGGTCTGGCTTTGCTGAGTAGTCGGTACGAAATTGGCCGTGGAACAGCTGTACGGGGTCTTCCGGTTCCTATGCATAGAGGGCGTGCGGTTATAGAGGTAGGTTGCTGCCTTAATTGACTCTGGCTATAGGTATTCGGGTAACTTAGCTCCTGCTCGTATTGCGCGGCTTTTCTATATAATAACTGCAGCAACACGCTCTGCCCCTCCATTCTAAGCTTGGGTATTTGGGGCCGAGGGCTCGGTGCGTATTCCGCGCTTGCTTAGCAGCTCGGCTACTTATAGGTATATGTCGGTTATCTCGTTGTCGCACTTAATTACCTTAACCTTAATAGAGTATTACACCTCTAGCATCTTAAGGAAGCGAGTGATTGCCGTATAGATAGTGGGCGTTAAGTAACTGTCTATATAATAATCCCACAAGTACCCTGTTGCTCTATCTATAAAGATCCAGACCGATATATAGCCTGCATAGCCTTGAGCTATTAAGTAGAAGTTAAGTACAATTCGATCTTCCAGCTTGGCTCTTGCTGTTACCTCTTGTAGAGCCCTGTAGATTACTCGGCGAGCCTTTGCCATACCGCAGGCATTACAGTCTACTGTTATAATTCTTTAGGGTCCCTCGGGCTCTTCTATCTTCAGTCTAATACCCCTTAAGGCTATTATAAGGTAATAAAGGGAGTTAGAATCTAGATGGCCGAGCCGTCGGTGCTATATTAGGGTATCTCCTAGTAGAGGTTTCCTATAAGTCCACAATATATAGCAGGGTTTCTTCTGTAGCCAATTAGCGATAAGTGCTGCCAAGCAGTCTATATACTCTCATCGAGCAGTTAGCGAGGCCGGTAACTTTTCTCTCTATTTAAGAACCTATTACCCAAGCCATTCGTCAATAGCCCCGAGGAAGGACCCATCTAATCTCCTCAGACAGTTATTACCTAGTCTAGTATCCCACTACAGGCCTCGCTGCCTTAGCTTTGAGAACGAGATAAGGTTAGTAGTAAGGGATATATATAGGGCAACGTCGTAAAGTATAAGCCTCTTTAGCGAGCCGTCGGCGGCTATTAGGGTAACAGTCGCTTCTCTATATCTATTAATTAATATTTACTCTATACCTAACTAGAAGAAGTCCTCTAGCTGGGCAGCTTAAAGGTTCTTTATTCTTATTGTATCTCAAAAGATATATAATATTACTCCTAAGTCTAAGAGAAGACAGTCCTGCAATAGGTAGTAATCGCCTGCTACTAGAGCAGTATTTACGTTACAGAAGCCGACCGGCCTTAGTTACGCGGACTTTTCCAGCTTGATCTTTCAGATCCGATTAACTAGGTTATCTTCATTCTTCTCAAACCGCTAGTTAACCTTCTTAAATATATAAGGACAATATATAAACCAGCCTGGCTTCTTCTTAGGAAAAATATAGTAGTATAGTAAGAGCAGATAGAGTTGGTTGCAGGCAGGGTACTTAGCTTCTTTATCCTCTCTAATACTCTGGCGGAATCTCTTCTTATTCTTCACTTGCTAATCCCTCGGCGAGTAATTATTTTCTCCTTCTTCTAAACCCCCTCCACCGAGGAAGGCTCCGTAGCCAAGTTTATTCTTCTTCGGCGGCTCCTGCTAGCCGCCGATCGCTCGGCGAATATCCGCCATTATAGGACCGACTGCCAGTATGCTATCTTCAATCTTATTAATCTGGGTTATACTATATACGTTGATCTATAACTTTATAGGTGATGCTCTAAGAGCTTTAGTTAAGTCTGGGAGCTACTGGTTAGGCTCTGTTATCTCTTAAAGGCTAATATCCTTAGCTTTGTTAATTGCATTCCTCTAATATATAAGCTAGTTGCTTATAGCCTTATAGGTTGTGATTCTTACTTAGAGTAGTTTATTAAGTATTTTACAGTATGCTCAGTAAGCCTTCTACTTATATTCTTTTATAGCTAGGGCAAACTTATTATAGATCGATTAGACTCATTAAGGTAGTATTATCTCTACTATATAATAAGTATAAAATAGAGGTTTAGCTACTATATTTAGAATCTAGTTCCTTATAGTCTTTATTTATATTTAGAAGTCTTTATAATACTTACTTAGGTACTTATAGTTAGTCTATATTATATTATATATTTACAGACCCTTTTCTGTCAGCTCGATAACCTGCCGGGCTTAAAGAATAATATCACTTCTAATAGGAAAGGTAGGGTCTTTATCGTCCGTTCAAGCTGTAATTATATCTATTGATAACAATAGGGTATCGGCAGCGGCTAAGCGCATACTCGCCGAGGATTTCTTGTAGAAGTATATAATATCCAGGGGGTTTGGTGCAGTAGATATCATCTCCGGTTTCCCCATCTTCGTAGGGTCAACGTAGTCCCAGAGGTCTTCGTTCATTGCTATAGTCTTCAAGGTCTTATACCAAGAGATCCAATCTTCGTCGCTAACGAGTTTAATCGTATTGGCGTTGGCGGTCATGTTGTTCTTCGGCGAGGGATCGGGGAGCGCTCGCTTGCAATCCGTACTTGGATAGGTATTCAATCGATAGATATATATGCGTATGAGACTCTTAATTGTCGGAAAGCTTGCGTGGCACTTCAGATGACTTGATTGTGTGTGTTCTCTGTATTCTCCCCGTTGCCCCTATTGTAATCGCTTGAGTGTATATCTATCGACTAAAAGTGGGGGTCTCGACCCTGGAGGTCACCACGTGACCACCCGATCGGATGCTTTATACATAATCCAATCTAACAAATACAGTCAAGGCCAACATATCACAACAGCCCGCGAGCCCGGCTACGGCCAAGTCGTTTAAAAAACGCATCGCCGGTGTTTCCCCGTGAAAAATAGAATTTCTATCGGTCCGACTAATGTTCCGGCTGCGTAGCCGGAATGATAATGACATCCTCAACGGCTGACGACGCCGATGACTGTCGCCGGCCGGAGCTGCGGCCACGGCCTCGTCACCCCTCCCTGTGCCCCGTCCTCCTCTAGATCCTCTTCCCCTTGTATTTATATGGCCTCGTGATCTTGACGTCGACAGTTTTCGGGTCTGTTGGCTGCTTGGTGTGTCCACGAGCTCGGCCTGTGACAGCGTGATGGTAAAAGGTCTAAGTTGGCCTAGGAATTGCGATCTGATATCGCAGGGTGTTGTAAGCGGTGGTTGTCACGTGAGAGCGAGCATTTCCTAATTCGGCTAGCGTTTTGGAGGTCATGTGACGAATTACCTCTTTTGGCAAGCGTATTTTGGGATACAGCCCGGATAGCAATATCATACAGCCCGAATAGCACTACTCTTAAATTTTCTAAAACAGGCTATATAATTTTTAAAAGTCTAGAAAAACTATTTTTAAGATATAATTAAAAAGAAAACTATGTAGTATTTTTTCTATATTTTTAAAAAATTTATTTAGCTTATAAAGTTAAAAAGACCTTAAAAAAACAGTGTGAATAAGATTTTCCTTAATAAGCTTATTAATATATTTTTTTTTAAAAAAATCTAAGAAAATTTATACTTAATATCTAGTATATATTAGAGCCTATTTAAGAATTTGAGCTAGTTTGGTCTTAGTTTAAATTTTAGAGAATTCTTTAAAAAAACTGTAATTTAAGGTGTAAATACTAAGAAATTCCAAAGTGTTGCACTCGCTTGTTTGTTGCACTCGCTTGTGGAGTACTGTTACGGCTTGGTTCACCGAACAGCGAGAGAGGCTTAAAAGAGCAGCTAGTGTGCCTAGTAATTGCAATCAATGTGATTATTGCCCAATCTTTTGCCCCCTGGTACAGCGGTCTAGCACAACCGTTACATATTTTAATAACTTACATATTTTAATAACTTACATATTTTAATAACTTACATATTTTAATAACTTACATATTTTAATAACTTACATATTTTAATAACTTACTTATTTTAATAACTTACTTATTTTAATAACTTACTTATTATATATATTAATCCTAGGAAATTTAGTTAATCTTAAGTTTAATTAATAAAAATTATCTTATTAAATAATAAAGAGCTTAAGTTATTATAAAGAGTATATTTCTTATTAATATAATTAGCTCTTATTGCTAGTTCTTTACTACTTACACTCATTAGCAAGGCGAAATTTTTAGTCATAATCACTAGTAATTAAAAAACAAGTCTAACTGATCACTGAACAGCTTTATAGTTCGTAGCCTAGATAACCCTCACATATAACAGGCCAGGGCCTATATCCTTACGGTAATGCCACAAGACCTATAAGGCCTGTGTGTGCTAGGGACTAGAAAACTATACACAGTTAGACAGCACTTAGGAACTTCTTTCTTTCTTCTTTATCTTTGATGTAAATAGCATCCTGGATTAGATAGCTGGGACACAGTTACTAGAGGCCGTTCACATCACCACGATGTGGATTGCCTACACACAATGACTATAATCGCGAACATACCTAGACATGCTAGTGCTGGAACCAAACAGATGCTCTCAATATCCATCATGATAATCATCAAGCCAAGTGACCCTACCATCAGAATGTTTCTGGGAGTAACGCCCGCTTTTGGCATCCCGCTCGGGTAAGGAGAGGTTGGAGAATAAAATGACAGGGACTGCTAGGTGATGATGCCACCATCGGCACCTCTGCGGCCGCGACGCTGTTAAACGGAATCGCTGGCACTAGAAGGAAATGTGGCAGAGGGCCTAGGTAAGTTCGGCGGCAGGTATGACAGCGGGAATTGTCAGAATGTTCCGCGTACAGCAAGTTTTGTAGAGCCTATAACTCGCAGGGATCGACGGGGCGGAAAATAACAGACACTCTCTCTCCACGACTTGCTTCGCCGAGTGCACCTTGTCTCAACGTCCAACCTAGAACACCTGCTTTACTGCCAGACCATATAAGATAGGCTTACGACCTTTCGACGCGCAACGGAACAGCTAGCTAAGCTAAGTAGCATTTCCGAGTAGGGCTGCTCAGCAGCGCTTCAAACGACTCCGGCAGCACGCCATATTTCTGGAGATTCAACATGATGTTGACCAGGAAAATGAGCACGAGCCACCGGGCGTTCTGGTCGCCGAATCTGGCGCGACACGCCTCCGCCTGGGTATGGACCGCATCCGGTTCGAGCGCACCCCGGCCCAGCTCCCGGAGGACCACGGCAATGTCTTCTGTCTCAAATCTCTGGTCGCCTGGCAGCTGCTTCACGTACGTGGTCGCCGCGTCCTGGAGGATGAAGAGGCACCCGATCCCGTCGAACCTCCAGAACATGCTGCGGTTGACGCCAACACGGCGCGGGAAGAGGACATTGCTCCGCAACTCCTCGACGTGGACCTTGACTGGCACGCACTCGGCGTCGCAGTCGATCGAATCTTCATGGTCCCACAGGTTGTGGGCGACCTCGGCGAGGTTCGCGAGCAGCGTCGCCATGGCCCGAAAGTGGGACGCGAAGTAGACCCTGTGCAGGGGGGGGATGCAGACGAGGGCCGAGAGTTCCGGCATCCGGACCAGCTCGTACCCGGGCAGCTGGCTCGAAAGCCGGTCCTTCCAGATGCCGTCGGGGACGACGCCGGGGCCGCCGCATATGGCCCGCGCGAAGGCGCTACTCGTCACGTACGTGTGGTCGAGGTAGTGCCCGTCCGGGAGCCTGAAATCCGCCCTAACGACTGGTTGGCCGCAGTGTTTCCCATCCACCCACACAGTCACATCGTTCACGATCCAGTCGTTGTATTCACCGGGACTCCTGTCTCCGTCCATGAGAGATACCTGGGAGGACAAAAGCCGCCAAACCTCGCTCGTTTCCATGTGGGCAAGGACAAGGCCGCCAAAATCGCTTGTCCAATTAGCCTCTCGGGCGTTGACCCGAGTGTGGCAGGAGCGGCTAGAAGCCATTGTGCAGTAGGTGTTGTGCAGAGGAATCCAACTCGTGCGGGCAACTCGCTGTAAAGTTGAGCGGGGCTTTTCGCTACGAGGAATGTCAGGAACCCTAGAACCACCTGCACCACGTTTGGCCACTTCAGATGTTCCTTCACTTACCTTGGTTGGATATAATGTCTTTCGGACAATTCGAATATGTGTTCCACAACGCTGATGCACTGTTGGGAGACGTCTTGTGCAAACTTCAAATCGTTGGAAAATAGCCGCAAATACTCTCCAAGAGCCGGTTGGAGAGGTCCGGTTGTGGGAGAGATGTCTCGGGTTACTCCATCCCCACTAGAGAAAGTCAAGTTACGTCCTAGACATGTCTCGTGAGCGCCTTGTACTTCTATTCAAGAGACGCTAACCTACGTTTCTGCCGGCCGGTCACGACAGACGATGCTTCATCTGTAAACCTCCTAATCGTCCGTCCGACGAGTTCGAAATTCGTATCTTCGGGCCCACGAAACTTGTTCATGCCCGAATGGGTTGCATTGAGCCCTAATCTCTCGAATGTATCGAGACAGGCCGAATCCTCGGTGACAAGCTGTACCGAATTAGCCTCGAATAGACACGTCCATGAGGGATATCATACTATCTTTTGGGTCTTCTTGAATAAAGAGGTGACTCTAGTTGCGGAACGTGGCGAGAGGAACTTTCTCAGCATCACCGTCTTCTTCGTTTCGTAAAAGCAGGAGATGGGTATCTGGATCGAATCGCGTCTTGCGTTTTCAGCGAACACCTGCGTTATCTTGCGAAGCTCCTTATCTCTACTGTTGAGGTCATCGACTAGCTGGCTCGAGGCCTGCTCTCCCATGATGCCACCGACGACCACCTGCCACTGAGCCTGTTTAGCCGCGTCACTACCACGGAATGGCGTGGCGAGGAATACGATGCCGGCAATGGACAGCAAGATGTCCCCGTAGGCACTCCCTAGCTGTGTCGCTCGGTTGACAGCCTATACAAGTCAGTGCTAGCCTGCAACTCTGCCGTGCGAGGTCGCCTACCTCAGCCAGGATAAGGCCACCAAAACAGGACGCCACGAAGATGATCGGCCGCCTTTCCCTGCCTCGATCCTTCAGCAAGTGGGTAAGCAGCGTATCCGCGTGGCCGAGGAGAGTCTGCACAGGGGCATCCTTGAAATAGTTCGCGTTCCAGTCGTATGTGAAGATCCGAGCCTCGGGTATGGCAGCCGGTAGCATGTCGGCGTTGGCCAGCCAGTTGACTACCTCGTCCCCATCTTCGGGTTTCTTCCTGTACTCCCACGTCCGCGGCGACTGGGTATCCAAGCCGTGGATAGCGATGATGCTGTCTATTTAGCGCTAATCTGATTGTAGCGAGGGGCGGAGACGTACTCTAGAGTGGTGTCGGTAGCTTTGATGGTCGGGGCGACCTGACGAAGTCCGAGATATCGGTGGTCATGGTTGGCCTGCATTCAGTCAGCAAGGTGGCCACGGTTAACTGGCTTCGGGGGGGGAGGACGTGCCATGAGGACACGTCGGGTTCAATGGAACAGTCAGACGATATTGGCACATCCAGAGGAGAAAGGAGTGTCTGTGTAGGGTTGGTAGAGATGCAACGGTCGTGATTATCGTCAAAAGAAGCCTAGTACACTAGCAGATGACTAATGTGCATGCAACAACACATTTCTGTAGTGACACATAACTGATGCACCCCAAAACCAAGGTCGTACATGTGACGATCGGTATCTACACTAAGCTCGTGAGTCTAGGGTAGGCTGATCCTGAATGCTGTCGAATGCGGGGTCTGAGCAGTAAGCCAGCGCTGTGCGCGCAAAAGGCAAAAAACTGGTCACACGCAGACGCCACCAGCCCCTGTAAGCGCCTTACTTCTCAAGCTCTCAACTCGTTCCGAAAAGGCATTGGCGGACCCCGTAGGGGGCCGGTCTCCTGTGCCTGAGGAACGTTAGTGACGAAGGTTCTTCCTTCCGCGCCCTCTCTCAGACCCCAAAAAGGCAAACACTCGGTTCACTCGACGATCTGATCCTTCTAAGCCACAATCAATGAGTCGATGGGCCACATTCGAAGAGCCACAAAAGCTCAGGGGAAAATGACGTTATATCCTGGCCCTTGTCCTGGCCCTTAAAACTCGCAGTTCGGAGATGTCTGCTCTTAGCATAGCCTTGGATGACGGAGACGCTACCATGGTTGTAGGCGCCGCTTTGCGACTGTCGCCGTCCATGCGATGATATAGTCTGAAACAGGGTAGCCGGGATTCCGCGCCACCAGCGACGTCGTCTGTATCAACATCAGAGGCCTGGACCATGTTACTCTCTGGGCCTTTGGCTGCAGCGATATCTACGTGTGTTGCATCTTTCTGATTGTACAATACGTCACTTCCGGCCGGATGCGATCTATCCGACCTCCCCATCGTGAGTATTGCTTCTGCTTTATCATTTGAAGCGTCTGCATCTTATTCGGCTCGACCCCGATATTTAGCATTAGAAAGTTAAGGGACTAAATCATCCCTAAGACTAAAAGGGTCTAAAAGCAGCGCTATAGCTCGAGTAATTATGGTTAGAGAGGTGGAGTATATCGGATATTACTTATTAAAATATTTTAAATTTAGTATTTAATATTTACTAGCTTACTATTAGTTTTAAAAGTTAAAATAACTTAAATTAAATTTTTAATATTAATAGAATAGCTTTTACTATAAATTTATTAAAGTTTTATATATTTAAATTTATTAAGAATATTTACTTATTATAAAAAGAAATAGAATTTTTATTATTATTTCTTCTAATAAGAGAAAATTTAATTAGTATTTTTATTTAATTTTAATATATTAAGATTAAATTTAATTTACTCTATAAATTTATAAATCTTAAATATTTTTATTTTTATATTATAATATAAAATATACTTAAAGTTAAAAATAAGAATATTTCTAAAATAATAATATATCCTCTTATATTTTCTTAATTACTAAAGGTACTTTATCTTAATTTATAAGATATAAATTAAAATTAGATTATTATCTAGCTAAGCTAGAGGCTATCTATATATTACAACCTAGTATATATTAAATATACTGAGATTAATTATATAGACTCAATTTAGACTGTTAAGAACGGCAAATTCAGAGATTATAGCGTATATAAAAACTTTGCAGGAGTAGGGGTATTATTTGTAGCCATGGAAAAGAAGATTGAATATTCTCCAGTACAGGACCTTGGAGCGTTCAGTGGATTTTGGGCATAGATATAGACTATATCATTGCTCTTGCTCAGTACGAATTTCCTCAGTACAAAAGGTTCTGTGCGTCGATGTAAAATTAACAGTCTATTAGGGACTATATATTAGATAAGACGCATGCTGCCACTTCGGACACCGGCAAAACTTGCAGTCGACACTGACAGGATTGTCCTGCATATGTGTGTAGAATCCCACTGCAGGAATATGGGGTGGGGAGGGGGGCCAGCTCAAGGCCAGATTTAGATCTACGTTTGTGCCTTGCTGTCTGGCGTGTTGCCAGAGCCGATTCAGGCGCTCGTTATGTCTCTCACCCTATAAGAATTGGGCGCATGGACCACGTGACACAGTATTAATATGGCTGATATGGACTGTAGATACACGGAATGACTTAGCAGGACCAGAAATAAGCCAAAACTGGCCTAAAAAGGTAAGCAGGTCCGGCCCACGTCCACTTTAGAAATATACTGTAATCTGTATACAATACACGCGTACTATACCTATGTACGTCATTTCATTAGGTTCGGTCTACAGTGGCTGGCCGAAACTGAGTATAAAATTGACTGATATTATTAATCACCCGATTACCTTATATATACCAGATTTTAGCTTTTGCCCGCAATATATACCAGGGGGTATCTTCTATTTCTTGCTTCCAGTCGTATGGCGGACCAGCTTGGAAGCCAGTAGGACCTAATGTGTTATAATAAGAAGTAGGTGAGTAAGAATCAGGTATAATAACTGGAGTTACTGCACCAAATAGATTGATATACTAATTGTAAAAGCTATTTGTTGACTAGTTTATGCTGACCACGCCAATTGTTACCGTAGCAGATTAAATATTCACTTAATGCCTGATTGAGGGCTTGTGGTTAGATTTTAATTGATAAGATGCGATGAATTAAGTCGGCAATGCAATCAGTCTCCCAGGGCTGTGCAGCACGGTGAGGTAATAGGAGAATTTGATCCTAGTAATCCCCAATTTATTTATCTTATTAGAGAAGTCCCTTTCCTGCCTGTTCTATGCCAAACCGATGTATCTTAATGCTTTTATACTATTATATCTCCTATTAACTTAAATAATCTAATATATTCTTATTCTACCTGGAAACTTTAAAGACTTAATTTGAAAATACCCTCTCTTTAAATAATTATACGTCCCTTAAACCCTACTCTTAGCTTTACGGTCCTTAGTAAAATTGCTCACGCTACTATATATACCCTTAGTATTACCTATAATACTATAAACTTCTTTATTTTATTTGACTTCTTTAACAATAAGAATTTAACTAATAGCTTCGTTAAGTATATTAACTTTAAGACTGCTATTAGCGAAGGTCTCACCGGTAATTGTAATAGCATTATCTATATAGATATTAATACTACTACAGTCAGCCCAGCTAGTAGCTGCAAATCGGTCCGTATAACTTCTTAAATGTCTTTTACCTACAGCCTCTTTATTGCTGATATTATCTATATGCCCGGTAATATTTATAGAGTCTGGCCTGCTATATAGCTTTTCAGACCTAACTGGCCTGCCTCTGGAGAGATTAATATTATTAAAGGTATTAATACTTAAGTTTATAATACTATTACTCTTTATACTAATTCCGGCTGCTATATTATAAATAAAGAGACTCTAAAAAGTACTACTTTATTAGAATCTAACTATAATACTAGTTATACTTATACCAGCTGCAGCTAAAATACTGCTAATTATTAGAATTACAGTAATAGCTTTAATACTAATAGTAGTAGCGTATATACTATAGAGTAGACCTCAGATTATATTTCTATCTGGTTTTTTACCTGTAATTAGATCCCTGATAATATTAAGACTGAATTCCTTAATCTATCTAGGTGGGGCCTGCCTACTGTATACTTTACTAGCAGCTCTGGCTATAATATAGATATCTATTTTATAAATAATAACCTAATTTTCAATACCACCTTCTGTAGAGACTAGGCCGGCTCTGCTAAGATCTGGAATACTAATCTTAAATACTCTGCCCTCTTATCTAACTGTAATAATTATATTGCCGCCAATCCAGCTGCCTTTACTAAGGCTTACTAGCTTATTAATTCTATAAAGATCTTTAACTAATCTACTTCCAGTTATAATAATAAGTAATAAGCCTATACTAGGCCCGGTATAAGATATCTATATCTAAGGCAGTTACAATAAGGATTTCTAAGAAGAGAATATCAGTTAATTAGAGAAAGAGGAATAGTATTCTCTTTTCTTTAGATATACAGATATAACTAGAGCGATAAATAATAAAAAGTTAACCTTATTATTTAGGCTATTCTATAAAGTTAATCTAAATATTTTATTTAGTATAAAATAAGAACTAACTATATCTACTTTAAATAGTATAATATATAGTAACTATTTAGTAGTAACTCATATCTATTTAAGGTATCTAAATTGCATTCTTACCCGGGGCAAACTAATTATATTAGTAAATTAATATAACGCTATAGAATATTTATACCTCTATTATGCTGTAAGTTATACCCAGCTGTATTATGGTAACTATATTCCGCTACCTATACTATTCAGTTAACCTCGCTACTATATACTACATAGAGGTTTATACTACATCTTCAGATTATAGTTAGATAGCTGCAGTATAAGCCCTTTCATCTATATCTTCCAAGCCAGAGTTATAGTGCCGACTATAAATACAAATACCTCGACTCTAATTAATAGAGAGATCTAAATAGGATAACTATTAGCAATCCAGAAGACGAGGCTAGTAAGAACCTCGATAATACTAATATCGACTAATATAATTAGAAGCTATAGAATTAGTATTTTTTTTTTAGTTAAATTCTGCTAGCCCTCGAATTTAAAAAGGAGTATTTTAGTAAGAGTTAAAGTAATAATACTTTTTACTATAGAGCTGGCGAGTAATAATACTACTATCTAGCCTATAGCTATCTTTTGATGATTTTGAAATCCGCCTAATACTATTAAGACTGAGGCGACGATAGTAGGAAAAGCTGTAATAATATTAAATATTCAATAGAAAAGTAGAATACAGTTAAATATAATAATCCCTCGCCCGCCTACTATTTTATAGGCTTTGTAATAGAATACTAATTAGTATAATAGGTTGTAAATTAATTAATAATGAAACTTATACTGGTTATAGAACTCTATTATAGATACGTAACTTTAAAGGGTTGATTTTTAAATATTTCAGGCTGGGCTAGGTATCGACGAAATAATTAGTCTAAGAATAAGTAAAATAAATATAGTATAGGATTATCTACTTATATAGCACTATAATATCAGTCGGGGACCTTACTATTAAGCCTCAGCCCCTTTAAAATTAAAATTAAGTAAAGTTAATAAAAGTGCAGCCCCAAACTAACCTTATAATTCTATCTAGCGTCTATATATAGATTCTTATTACAGCCAGATATTTTAGACTCTTAGTACTGGTACTAGTAGAGTAATAGAGTACAAGGTTATATAGATAAGTAATATAAGCAAATTGGAATTCTATATATACTTACTAGGCAGTTATTACTATACAGCTAAGTAAACTGTTAGACCCTCAATTAGAAGAAGCAATAATAGCCAGTATTATACTGTATATATATAGTACTATAATAGCTAAAAATTAGTTGTATACAGCTCGAGGCTGCTACCCAGATAGAAGATATATAGAATACTTTTCTACTATTTTTAGTAGCTACTTATAGACACTACTTATAGCCCCAGGCTATCAGGTAAAGCTTACTAATTAATTATCTTAGACTTATCTGCTATAAGAAGTTCTAAGATAAGTATAGCTGATAGTTACTTAATCCTCGATCTAATAATTAAAGCCTACAGCTACTACAGACTAATTTCTTTATCTCACCCTAAATCCACTTCTAGCCCTTACTTTAACACCCCTAAACAGTTTAGCAGCTACGTGATAGGATTATAACAGGAAGGAGGTCTATCTACCTGCCTTCTATACTATTTCTTTTTCCAGAGGACTGGCTACAGTATGATAATTGGCTAGTTATTTCTATAAATATTTAGGTCTAAGAGGCTGAGGCTGTGACAAGCAGTGGTGGATTTGGTGGACTTAGTGCATTATGTAGACTGACCTTTCTCTGACACTTTAGCGCGTCGTCACTCCTGCTATTCACGACACCACCCACCGTAATCTGGTATATAAGAGAAGTCTTAGTAGCTGTCGCCCTATTGGCCTTTTCTTGTTCATAGAAGATAGATTGGGCTGGAGAAGTGATAAGATAGACAGGGTTATACCTGAAATTAGGGCTTAGTATGCTGAAAATTAAGGGCTGGGCGCTCTAAGATTAGGCGCTCGAAAGTAGGCGCTAAGTGCACTGAAAATTAGGGTAGAGGTGCTAAAATTTAGGGCAAGGTGCGCTAAGGATTAACGCCCCGCCTAACCGCCACCCCCTCATTCCGCCACGACCCACACCGCGGATTTGCCCTCACCATCACCATCTTGTAAATTGAACATCTCGCGTTTTCTTGCGATACAACCAACCAATCTAAATTTCAATTGAAGATTCGGAATCAACGATGCCGAAATATGCAGAAGATCAACTTTAATGTGCCATTGACGGGGCTACGACGAATGGAAACATCAAAGCAGCTGCAGCCAAGTGGGCCATACCGCGCACAACCCTTTCTGACCGTCTCAACGGCGCAGAAACCCGCACCGAGGCACAGGGGTGAATGGGAATGGCGATTACGGAGAGCGATGACGATGATGCGTCATGGCGAAGACAAGACGGGAGTGAAAAGGTGGGGTTGGGACTCACCTGGTCCAGGGGGGGATTTCTTCGACTGCTTTGGGGACTTCGACTCACCTCTGGCGGAGGCGTCGACTGTTGAAGTCCCCATAATGACGATGATGTATTATTGTTAGATGCGAAATCGGCTTCCTCTTCAATGGCAACTCTTCTCAGAATTGAGCACGGACCATGTTATTATATACTTAACAGTACATGATATTACATGCTTACGGCCAGAATTGGCCATAACGCTCATACATTTATGGCTTACTCAATGTATCTTTAAGTGCCCCCTCGTACATAGGGAATCTATAAATTCACGTGACTAGCCTGACAGTGTGACTCTAACACTAGGTACAAATTCTTCCTTCTCCCACATTCCCAAAGGGAAATCTTGGTCCCCCCCATTCGTCAGCCGTCATCACGTCCATTCACTGTCATCATTTAGATTATCCATCTTTAGCGAGCCCTGAAAAAACTTAATATCACATACAAAATGCCATGCGACGCCCTTTAAAACACCATGCTCCTTATAGAATCGAAAGAACCTCTTTTGGTTACAGTAGACCATCTCAAGACTAAGGCCCTCATTCAGGGTCAAGTCCTGAGCCAAGCTGCAGGAGCTTTTTTGCTCCTGGCTGCTAACTTGAGACTGCTGCCACATAACATAGGACTTGACCATGTCCTCTCTCGATCCCTGGACGTGAAAGGTGGGTGATGTTGGGAAGATCATGTCAGGTGTAGGAGGGTCATTAGGACCAGCCTTGGAAATACGACCATCGCCTGGGGCGTTATGAATATGAATCACTGGAAGACCAACTGGTGAGCTGCCTGGATCCTGCCGTGTCCGCTTGCGCGCGCGCTCCCCTTCTTGCTGCTCTTCTGCGTATAGCTCCGTTCGAATACGTTCTGGTATGTCATTATGAGTCTGCATATTGCAACCTTTCTGTGTCTCATCAACAAGGATCTTCAAGTGGTGACTTAGTAATTTATAGTGCTTTGTCCCGTCCTGCCAGCAGTACGGTCCTTTATTGCACGGCGGTCCCGGGCATCGTACAAGGGCCATCACGCGCCTCCAGCTGTCTGTCCGACCTACAACGGCCGCCTCGGCATCTCTTCGAGCGTTGCTCTCGATAAGCTTAGTAGCAGTGGCCCCCCGGCCAGTTGCGGCGACCTTACCACTTTCTTCTACATAGTAGAATGTAACTTGTGCTGAGAGCTTCTTGCCGTCACGTAAGAAGTGGCTCCAATCTTGTAGCTGCTCCGCCACGTATGACCACTGAATATCTAACTTTGGGAATCGCTTGGTTATGCTGCTCGTCTTTCGATCGGTTACAGATAGAATGATCTTCGTCTCGGCAGGCTCCCAAGGCTTAGGGCTCTTTTCTACAGCGGCTTGCAACTTCGATCGTAGAACATGTTTCCAAAACTTTCGTGGCGAGATCACCACACCTGGTTCCGATTCACCCGATTTCTGCCTATTATTCACCGATAACTTCCATTCCACGTGATACCGTATGTAGTCGGGCGGCTGCTCGTTTGTACGGGTGTGCTGGTCTCCAATCAGTGTAAGGGACGAACGAAAGGCCGGTTCCGGCAGGTCTCAGTTGGCTCCTTCGGGTTAGTGTGGCTTGCTGGAAAGCCTCCTCGTCAGAATCGAGTAGATCGCAGGGCTGAGGCTCGCTCGCATCGTCACTAGACCAGCCATCGATAGAGCTGTCCGCATCCACGGTCGTCAGTTGGTGCTTTATCGCAGAAAGTCACCTGGGAGTTGCGCCATGTTCACGCACCTGTGAGTCACAAAGGATACTGTGTCCTTAATCCTGGAGAGTGAAATCAAGTGTCAGATCTCGTGACTCCGTAAGTGGGGTCTGACGGTCTGAGTTGGGTGCCTTTGGCACGGGGAAACGTTTGATCAAATGATGCCAAAATAGGCTGCTTGGATTGATGATAGATACGACCTTAATAACGTCGTTATGACTGATTGATTGACTGTGTTGTTGATGATCTTGACCGGCGAGGGATTTCCCTCATCTACGGTCTCCGAGACCCCCGCTTCCTTAGTCATCCGGCCGGACCAGAGTCATCACGTGATTATCTCTTTGTTACTATTATTGCACCATCCAATAACAACATCGTAGCGTGGCGACCTGACTAAAAATAGCATCGACTTAACCCGTTATTGCTACCCAGTGAGTTCCACGTCGCCGATAATGTCAACCCAACGCAAGGAGATATCAGAAACCGAGGAACGACAGTTCCACGTCCAGCAGTGTAAAATCTTCGTTAATCGAATCCCGGCTCCGATCGATCTCTTGGCTTCCTCAGCCTAAGAAGACATGTAACAATTGGTGTGGATACTTTTTTTTACCCAAGGATGACGTACGGGCCATCCATGGGATATGGCGTGCTTGCTCAACTGCAATAAAAAGTGTGACACATGTTTCCCGCCGCACTAGCAACTTGCGACCTGCAAAGCCCGCAGACTTATCGATCTCCTTGGTAAAGACGGCATCTCCGATCTATCCAAACGCGCTACCAAATCCGGCCTCTGCCAGCCCCGAGAAGGAGTGTCAACAAAGTCTACGTGTCCACAATGGTTGTCAACAACTGGGAATACACGGCGCGGAGAGTGGCGCGCCGTACCTGAGAGACAATCCAAGTCAATTGGCATCTCGGCTTCACCGCGTTTGGCGGACCACCTGTTCATTTCAAGATTGTAAGCAAACATTTCCCGCTACACATCTTATTAACTAGACCTGACAATGCAATAGTTTCATGATAAGTTCGTATCGAAGCTCGCTTGGATCGACGAGCAGTTGGTACGTACATTAGTCACACGCTGTTCTCAAGTCCATCAAACAAAGAAACTAACCAATATGTTTCAGTACCAGGAACTTTTCAGCATCTCCCAAGCTCTATCTGGCCCTGCTAGCACCAAGATGCTATACTGTGTAAATCTGATCCATGATGGTTTCCTTGGAGCTGTCCTTGCTTTTTTAATTTGGAGGTGAGCCAGAAACTTGCATCTTCTATGTCTATGGATAGTTAGGGACCAGAGCTAAAGACCTTGGCCGATAGTTTACCTGGCGCGCTAGGCATGTTTGGCCTCTCCATCGGCGTCTCCAATATCGGAGAGACTCTTCCTCGTCCGGTATATGCTCTGCTCTCGGGACTTAACGCTGCCACAGTTGGGATTATTGCCCTGGCAGCTGTCGAGCTGTCGAATAAAGCAATCACGGACAAGCTCACCAGAATCCTCGTCTTTCTGACTGCCGCGGCTGGAATGCTATACAATGCTATATGGTACTTCCCGGTCCTTATGTTTGCCGCCGGCTGCGCTGCTGTCGCATACGACTACCGCTGGTTCCACCGACCTATTCGAGCTGTAAAACAGCTCGTCTCCAGGATGAAAAGCAGGACGCCTACTGAAGGGGAGAATACCGCGAGAGACGAAAGCGGACCCAGCAGAGAGACAAATGCCTCCAGCATAACTCTCAATGATCAAGATCGGTATGGTACACGGGAGTCTGAGCAGCGCGTCGTACCACATGAGTATCGTCTCAATTTCTCATGGAAGTCTGGAACTGCGATCATTGCAGCATTCTTCGCTACATTCATCATCGTTATGGTGCTTCGAGGAGTTTTGCCTGATCCCCCCCTGCTATATAAACTATTCGCGAACCTTTATCTTGCTGGCACCATCATTTTCGGCGGCGGACCGGTAGTGATTCCGCTCCTCAGGGAATATATTGTGGCCGAGGGATGGGTTAGTCCGCGCGACTTCCTCATTGGTCTCGCTATTGCACAGGCCTTCCCGGGGCCAAACTTCAACTTCGCTGTGTTCTTAGGGAGCCTTACCGCTATTCACGGCGGGTATTCTTCTATTGCCGGAGCACTCATTGCATTTTGTGGCATCTTCTTTCCTGGTATCGTTCTCGTCCACGGAACAATGGGGGTGTGGGGGGTGTTGCGAGGTAGGCGCTGGGTAAAATCTGGAGTGAGAGGCGTCAGTGCCGGCGCTGTCGGGCTTATCTATACGGCCGTGTATCGGATCTGGCAGATTGGCTACATCGATGAAGGTTTCCAGTCGGGGAAGAGTCTGGCAGATGATCCATGGTGGGTGGTGGTGACCGCGACTGCCTACGTGGGGGGGCGATACTTCAGCCTTGCGGCGCCGCTGGCTATTCTTCTCGGGGCTGTGCTAGGCTTGGTCAGATACGGAGTTGTTATAGGTCGGGGGTGAACAGTTTTCCACGCACAATGCACACGCGCTTAGTGGTGAGAGGAAGGTGTATGTGCACATACCTGTATGATCTCTATTCAGATTCTTTCAACATCTTGCGGGCCCGAGAGGCTGCCGCACGATAGTGAAGATGAGTTAATGAAATGCATGCTCTCATGAAATGATCTCGACAATAATGTAGTGCATGATTTTGATGCGACGCAATGCAAGCTAGGATGCAAGGCAGTGGCGATGGACGCCGCTATATTACGTGGACAGTCACGAGATCCATGTCCTAATTCTCCCATCATCCCTGAAATCTAGGTGCCATGTACCTTGCAGTGTGGACGGCGCTGTCTTAATCTATTATGTAAGCTGTGGCGCTGCTATGTACCTTGTGGATGTACACAAACTGAGGGTTAGCAGCTAGCTTCCTTGAGGGGTGGGCCATTTTGCAGGGTTTAAAGTGGGGCGGAAAAAAGCTTGGCAGTGGGATGCGAATAGCGATTTAATTGGCTAGAAGGCTATAATTGTGGAGCAACCCACAGGTAAAGTTAGTCTCATATATAATAATGCATTAATAATGCATTATTAATAGATTACTATATAAATATAAATATTAAGTAAAATTCTTAAATATTATAAATATATTTTAAATAATTTTTATAAATTAAAATAAGATTATTAATTTATATATTATTTTATTTACTATTTTTTAAATATTATAAATATATTTTAAATAATTTTTATAAATTAAAATAAGATTATTAATTTATATATTTATTTATTTATTTAGTATACGCTATTTTACCTATATCTAGGCCTATAGAACTCCTTCAACTAATTCAGAGAGGAAAAACCTTCTAGCTATCTAGCTATAGGATAAAAACCTCGCTGCGATTTCGCTCTGCTACCTCAAAGGGCTCGTTGTTGTCGTCAGGTCTGTACTGGTAAACTCGTCACCAGCCTTGTCCAGGTTGCATAGTATGCATTTGCCCGCCTTCCGGTCTCGGCTTCCTCTGGGTCGTAGAGGAGCCGTCGGGGGGTTGTGTGCGAGATCGCAGCGACCGGTGCTGCGACCCGCCTGGTTCGCCTTCTTCGTGATCGCTTCGGCAGCGCTGCGTCTGCCCTTCCTGGTGCGGACCTCCGGATGACCTTGCGGTGGCCCCCCGGGCCGCCGTCGGCATCACGGAGTTCGGCCTTTCCTTCTTCCGGTCACGTGACCCTTGTGTGCCGGCGCGTGTGTGGGTGCCGGGCCCGCGCAGCCGTTCGCTCGGGATCCCGGCCCCACAATTTCCGGAGCTGGTTCGCCCTGCTGCGTCGCAGGGCGGGCCCTGCGTTGCCTCGGCGGTCTCTATTCTCACCTTTTCCTCACTTTCGGTTCAGGCTCTCGATGGCTTCGAACGCGCCTCTGTCCTCGCGCCCCTTAGGGCTTAAGGATTCGGGGCCTGCCTAAGGCTTTTCCGAGCCCTATAAAAAGCCCCTTCCCCTCCGTTTCTTCCTTCCCTTTTTCCTTTCTTCCTTATCATTCCCCCGCCGCCGCCCCCGCCGCGGCTGTCTCTTGTGAGTCTCCCTCCTTCCCCCTTTGTGGTCTCTGCGCTGTCGCTGGGTCCTCGCTGACTTGTGGAAAGTCGTTTTTTTCCTTCTCGCTTCCCGCCTGGTTGCCGCTTCGATTACGTCTCGATTTCGCCACGATGCCTCCCCGCACGACCCCCGAGGAGCGGAAGGCGAAGGCTGCAGCCCGTCGCCGTGAGAAAGCCGCCCAGAAGAAGGCTGAGAAGAAGGCCCGCGACGAGGCCGCTGCGGCTGCCCCGGCTTCCCCCGCCGACGATGAGGAGGAGGAGGAGGAGGGGGAGGAGGAGGAGGAGGTTGTCGTCACTCCCCTCAAGCGTCCTTCCGGCGGTGCCGCTGCGGGTGCGGCCAAGGGTTCGAAGAGACCCAAGCCCGACACCCCTTCGCCTCGTCCTGCTCTGGAAGTGCCCGACAAGCCGCCGTCCCTCCTGGTTGATGTAGAGAAAGTCTTCTTTGCCGAGGTGAGTACTCTGCGGTGTCTCTGCGGTGTCCCTGCTAATCTGTTCTGTAGAAAGTTGGTGGTTACCGACCCATTCCCTGCACCCGCTGCGCTCGGTCAATGGTTTTGGCCAGTGCTCCTGGTCGTTTCTGCTTTGCCTACGGTGCGTTATCTCTGCGTCGGCTCTGCGGTCTCTCTTCCTTTGGTATTGACTCTCGACTAGGATCCAGTGGCCGCTGCGCCCACTGTGTGAAGGGGAAGCATGTTTGCGGTTCGGTGAGTAGCCCCTGCGGTACCTCTGAGTCCCTGTTAACCCTTCCTAGATTTCTTCTCACTCTGCCGACCTCGTCGCTCCCGCCCTTAATTTATATATTATTTTATTTACTATTTTTTAAAAATTTATATATAAATATATATAATTTATAGATATATTTTAACTATATTTAATATTATTAGATATAATTATATAAATATATATAAATTCTTTTTTTTTAATTATTTAATTAAATATTTTAAAAATATATATTATATTATAATTTTATTTTATATTTTTAAAAAATAAATATTTATTTTTAATATAATTTTTTAACTTATATATATATATTAATATATTAATAATACATTATTAATGCATTAATATAAATCTAGTAGAGGGGTGGGCCCACAAAATAAAAAGCTCAAGCCAATTAAAAGGCTAGTAATTTTTTGACCACCCCACAGCTTAGGGTCACTAGCGCCACCCAACCCTCAAGTAAGCTAGCTGCTAACCCTCAGTTTGTGTAGGTCCTCATGTACCTTGCAGTACCTTTGAGGACTTATTCTCAAAGCCACTTTTGGATCTTTGATTACTCCACAGGCGAAATTGCCCAGTGAAGTCAGCCACTTCTGACCACCCAATAGAATTATGTATTTCTAGATACCCGTAGGTACCGTTGGTCCGTGCGTCTTGCCTGAAAGAAAAGGAAGAGAGACCCAGAGAGGAAGGCGATAGTGAACATGACTGTACTACGTCGGCATCATTCAGAGAATTTACATGGAGTGGATTTATGTGTGGTTATTGCTTCTTGAGGATGCTGAGGCGCCCGTGGATCCTACAGCAGAGGGAAGGGCTGAGCAAGAAAATCATGGGCACGGTCACGTGGTAAAAGCGTCCAGAAAGGACACGGTATCCTCTATAACTCACCTCTCCGACGAGAATCGCCACGCAACGAAAGTTCGCCTCTTGCTCTGTATTAACACGATGATGGATGCGGACTCTGCGGATGATTGGTTTAGTGACGATAAGAATAAGCCTTGTATTTACTACGACTCGAGTCTTGGGAATCAGCCCGCTTACCATGCAACAGCCCCTCAGCGAAGCTAGCTGCGACCCGCCCGAAACTAACTACCGTTTGTGCCGTACGCCGACTGGATTCCAGGCGAGTCTTATATCAAATAGCCGCCGATCTATATATATTATATCCTGGAATGGAAATTTATATTTAAAAATAGAAGTATTATAAAGCAAATGGAGGAGGAACTTATAGTGGCTTCTAGTAATTTTTAGAATGAAGAGTTTTTGTTAAAGGTAGAGGAAATTGCTAAAAGTAAGCCTTATAAGCCCGGGTCTACGACCGTGGTTATATCCGTAAACGATCGATCCGAGCCAAATATAACCAAGCATTTCAAAGAGCTGGGAATTAATTGGCTAATTATAGAGAAATAACTACATATATAGAGCCACCTACTTCATATCGGGAAGAGGCTAAAGATTAATATCTTATTCGACTATATAGAGAGCAACAGAACTACAGACACTACTAGAAGAGGGGTTACTAGTACTCAGCTTGCCAATCAGGAGATCCAATCTAATACAGAGCAGGCTATTTTAAATATACCTATATCCTAGAAGTATATTTTCCAAGTAATAAAATACCCCGGACCTCCGTGCAATCGTAGACCATATTGCTAGTAGGATCTCAGGACCAAGAGGCATTACAAACTCTTAGGCCATCACCTAAGAACCCTCATCAGGCTCGTGCAGGGGGGTGGTAAGCTCGACATACATAATGATATCCCAGAAGACATTTGCATACAGCTTATTGCCCAGGAATAACAATATACAAATCATAAGCACAAGAGACAAGACTTATACTCTAAACTAGCAGGCTATCTAGCGCCTATAGTTATTAATAATTATATCCCAGCTTATGCTGGCTAGGATATAGCGGATAGCTTAAGGAGATCCACCCCAAGCTTGTCAGACGGGTCATCTTCGAGATCCTCCTTGTTTAGCGTACCTGGACCGCGAGATAATGCAGTCGAGGCATACTGCAGGTGGCAGTGCTCAAAAGTTAGTAGAACGGAACCAAAGAGACACTACGAGCTGGCTTGTGACCTTTCGCTAGAAAGGGGCCTTGATCTTGAGCTTCTTTATGAAGATAATAATGCACAATTTTACATAGACTACGGGGTATTAGAGGGCGTGGCGCGCCGCTGGGTTCGGGATATAGAAGCTTTTGTTGATCAATATATTATTGCGTTATAGAAGTATGGCGCCCTCTATTTTATTCTGGTGGTTCTTTAATACAAACCCCAGCCCAGCGAAAATGACCCTCCGCGCTGGCCTTTTAGCTGCCGACTATATCTACGGACTCTTCTAAGAAGAGCTGAAAATCTTGCTGGATAAGGTTCACCTAATCTTGCCACACTATCCTAATGTAGTTTTTGAGTTCCCCAAAGAATCGCTCTATGGGGTTAAAGTTAGGAGAGTAGGGTGGAAGGTAAAGCAATACGACGCCCGCATCTCGATACATCTGTGTTACTTTCTCCGTGTGGTGAAACGATGCATTATCCATAATCAGGACAGATCTTGGGCCAGGCCATTTGTTACAGTATGGCAAGAGTTCCTCAATAAAACCCTTAAAGATTTTAGCATCGGTTGATCCATTATATACTCAAAAATGAATAACATCCTCTTAGGTATAGGCAGGCAGGATTTGGAGTCTCTGTCCACGGTGGAAATGCTTAACTTGAGCAGGCGTGACCCCAACAGGAGCCCAGCCTTTATTTCTAGTCCCGATACTTCTATCGCTTCCAGACTCATCTATAAAAACGATCTAATAGGAGTGGTAAAAAGATCTTTCGTAGATGTGTTCCTCTCGTAGATCCTCGTTACGCTCCTTGGCAATAACATTTGCCACCTTATGAGACTATCTCGCCTCTTTCAGAGCTCGGCTAATAGCAGACTCTGACACAATAACGTCAAACTCCTTATAAAGGAAGGTGACCATTTCACGGATATTCATGCAAGAGGTAACGGTGAGTTCGACACGCAACGCAGTTATCATGAGAGGAGAAATTGTTTTAGGTCGACCGACACCGTTCGAGGGGGCTTTCGCTGCTCCGAAGAGGAGCATATTCGATCGGATATAGCGTACTGTGCAGGTAGTACATTAGTTGACTTCGGCGATGTCTTTATCTGTAAGCCCATTATCGCCATCTAACTTACTCTGTATTATATGCTCAATAAATAGGCGGGTAGTAGGGTGAAGGTTCGGCGCTATCATAGTCCAGTTGTAATGTAAAGGAGGGGATTGCTATGGCTATTTCCAGCTATTACGGATCAGCAAGGGGCACTCAGAGCTCGAGTGGACGTAAAACCGAAAGCCACGGGCCTGGACTGCGTTATGCTCCGCAGTCCTCTTTACGTTTAATTGGCCTGCTTAATTGAAAATCTATTCATCCGCGCAAGAATCCACTTAAAGGCAAGTCCCTACCCTATATCTCGCTTTAACACATCAATAGAAGCTAAGACAATAACTACTTTTACCTGGATCTAAATACAATCTACCGATCTGCCGATATCACTGGATGACTGCCTATTATCAAGGATGCAACTCGACAACCCTGAGCTTTATACTATAGAATAGATTGCTGCCCTCCCTATCGAGCGCGTAGCAGCCACAGCGTTATTTGATAACTGCTATAAAAACCCTAAAGATTTCGATTAACCTCGATCCGACCCGAATTCATACAAATGGGGCCGCATAGGCAAGCATAATATCGTGATCGCTTCACTTCCTGACGGAGATTATAGAACGACCCCTGCGGCAACGATAGTATCAAACCTGATCTCCTTCTTGCCTTATATTCGGATCGGTTTGCTGGTGGGTATTGGGGGAGGTATCGCTCAACCTGAGCAGGGTCGAGATATCCAACTCGGTGATGTTGTAGTAAGCCGACCTGATGGAACTACTGGTGGAGTGGTTTAATATAACCTAGGGAAGGCGAAGTTGGATTAAGCCTGGGAGCTGAAAGAGTCTCTTAATAAGCCTCCCCGGGTTCTTCTCTATACCCTGGCAAGCTTGCGAGCAAAGTATAAGAGAATACTATTACAGATTCCTAATCTCCTCTAGAGGATATATACAACCAATCTCCTTATAATGAGATTAAAGACTAATTTTACTTATTAAGGGTTTAAGAATAATTATTTATTTCTATTAACTTATAACTATATTAGAGGTAATATCTATAATAAGTGTAACTATTTCTAAGAGGTCGAGCGAGATCTATAAGATTCTACTAATCTAGAGATTCACTATGGAGTTATTGCTTCTGGAAATATACTTATTAAGGATCCTAGTACTTATAATAGGATCTTAGAGGTTGCCGGAGAGCAGTATATATATGTTGAAATGGAAGCTGCCGGTCTGATAGACTACTTTTCCTGCCTTGTGATTAGGGGTATCTGTAATTATACGGATTCTTATAAAAATGATTAATGGCAGCAGTATGTATCTGCTACAGCAGCTTTATTTGCGGTGGAGCTGCTTGGCTATATCCCTACTAGGGAGCTTAAAGCTATATGGCGGGTGGTTGATATTAAATCTCGTTAGTTTTCCCCTATTAATTATTCGATAAATGGATATTTATATATTTTTAGTTATAGAGGGTATAAATAGTATTCAGCTTATAATGCTTAATATAAAGAGGGAAGTCCAGAATATCAGATAAGATAGTAAATATAGCTCTAATATAGATACCATTACCGATAACTGACAGTCATCTACAAGTATGACCTTATATAGTATTGACCAGAAAATGGTCCTAGATCGTCTCCCAGTTGCTGATAGGGTATTCTTCGATTCTTATAGCGATAGACATAATGCGACTTGCCAACTAAATACCCGGGTGAACCTCCTCCGACAAATATATTAATAGGCAAACGATCCTTACGCCAAATCTATCTTCTGGCTTAAAGATATAGCAGGGATAGAAAAATCTACTATTTCCCGGACTGTTGCTCAGTTTTATGCTGTAACAGGTTACCTTAGTGCTAGCTTCTTCTTTAAGAGAGGAGAGCCAGACCGAGAAAACATATTAAAGTTCTTCACAACAATAGCAGCCCAACTAGCTTAGAGGGAGCCAGTAATAGTGCTATCTATTGAGGCTGCTATTAATACTAATCCTTATATTGCCGGAAAAGTATTACAGAATTAATTTAATTAACTGATTATACAGCTACTGGGAAATATCCCCCCTGACACAAGGAGATTGGATACTCTAGTACTTGTAGTTAATACCCTTAATAAGTGCAATACAGAAACAGACATCAAACTTCTCATCAATCTCCTATCTCGCACTAAGAATTTGCAGTTTTTAAAGCTGAGAATCCTTATTACAAGTAGGCCAGAGCTGCTAATTGACCTGGGTTTTACTAGCATAAAGAGCTTATATCAGGATCTTATCCTTTATAAGATTCCTGAGGAAATCATTAAGCATAATATCACTGCATTCTTCAAGTACAAGCTTGTAAGAATCAAGACGGACTATAACTTATCTGTGCCGACAAATTAACAGTTGCTACTTAACTGGCCCGAAGAAGGAAATATTCAGCTTCTTGTTAAAATAGCTATTCCTCTATTTATCTTTACTGCAACTATATATCGCTTCATCGACAACTGCAAATATGGCAGCCCTCACATGCAATTGGCCCAAATTCTAAGCTATAGAAGCAGCGGTTATAGCTCAAGGCTTTACCAAGTATATAGCCCAGTCCTGAGTTCACAGCTTAAAGAGGTCTTACAAAAAGATAGGGATAAGATCATTAATAAGTTCATACTTATTATTAGTACTATAGTCACCCTCGCAAGCCCTTTATCTATATTGGCCTTATCACAGCTACTTAATATTTCCCCTAATATCGTGGACACAAGACTAGATATACTCTATTCGGTTTTGGATGTTCCAGTGGAGCGTGATTTGCCTGTATGACTATTATATTTGTCATTTCGAGATTATCTTATCAATCCCGAAGAGAAGAAAACAAATAAGCTCTAGATAGATAAGAACTCTGCATATTACAACCTGGGCAAGTAATGTTTGCGTATTATAGACGAGGGTCTCCGCGAGAATATATACAGTATGTTATTCCTAGGAATGCATCGATCTACAATTAATTCTCAATAGATTGATAATTACTTATCTCTAAAACTTTAATATGCCTATTTTTACTGGGTGTATTACTAAATAGCTATTGATCTTAAGCTGAGTAATATATAAGAGGTCTATA